GGGATTTGTCACGGAGGCCATAACAAGTGTGGGTGACAGTGATGGTGACTCACCTGAGGGCCAGTAGCCTGCCCTCTGCCTCGGAACCAGCCTCCATCCCCGTACGCCGACCCATCTCTTCTACCAACGTAAGTGTTCAACATAACTTTTAGTTTTCCTAACTTAACCTTTATTTTTCCTAACCTAACCTCTTCTATATTACTTGTTTTTTCATACCATCATAAAGTTAAGATAGAATTTTTACTACAACATAGTTATGTGTCGTCAAAAAGTGGAGTTTGGGGGTCGGGCCAGTTTCTATTGGAATTAATCCCATATGTTCTGTTGTTCACTTAGCGCGGTTTTCACTTAACACGGTACCCTGTGGGTTTTATTGACCGCGTTAAGCGGGGTACTACTGTATATATATATATATATAAAAAATCAACACCTCACCCCGCCAGAATTCGAACCCACGATCTTATGACTGTGACCGGGGAACGTTACCTCTGGGCCACCAGGACACAAAAGCAGCTCAGACGTAATATTTGTGACAAATGCAAGATGATGGTGAGTAAGCAAGGTTGTGATTGCATTACTGCTAATTTCACAATAGTCTGGTGCTATATGATAACCTACCATTAAATGTTTGCCTACATCCTGACATATAAGTATCACATTGGTTTGATTTGGTTAAAAGAAATATTGCACCTTATTGACATGTGCTTGAAACACTAACCTATGTGGTATTGGAGTATATACACATTGTTGTAGAGCATTAGTTTTTAACATAGCTAATTCACATGCAGCCTCATCTGCCCGAGTGAATGCTAAAGCATAAGCCGGACAAACATGCAAATGCAAATATGTTGACTTACAATGATTTAGGATTTCATGCTTAGCCACAGCAACTAATAAAAAATCCTCTGATACTACTATTAGTTCAGTTTGTCTTTTCAGAATTAATAGTCCCTCATTCGCTTTTAGTGGAAATGGTTCCAAATGCAATGCATTAATTTATTTTTTTAATGGAATGTGCATTAGTATTTCCCTGTGTGTTAATGTTGCTTCTAATAAGGGGTAATAATATTCCACTTCATGCTCCTGAAAGATAGGCATTAGGCGAGTGCCACAAACCAGGCAAAGATAGAGTGTAGAAGGGCTGAAAAGGAGTTCCAGAGGCTGGTTGCAAGCGAGGTCAAGTCAAACTCAAAGGCATTTTACCGCTATGCAAAGTCGAAATTGAAAATGCGAGTAGGAGTATCAGACCTGAGGCTTGAGGATGGTAGTTATGCAGATTCTGACCAGGATAAAGCTGAGGCATTGAACAGCTTCTTTTCCTCGGTGTTCACAAGAGAGGATGCAACTAACCTTGCGTTTGAGGACAGACAGTTCGACACAGCACTGACCCACATTGTGTTCACAAAAGAGGGTATTAGGAATAAACTGTCCAGGCTAAAGGTCCATAAGAGTCCCGGCCCTGACATGGTGCATCCTAGTGTGCTAAGAGAGTTGTGCAATGAGCTTGCTGAGCCCCTGAAGATCCTGTTTTGTAAATGCCTGGATGAACAAATGGTCCCCAGTGAATGGAAAATGGCTTATGTGAGTCCTATCTTCAAGAAGGGCAATCATCACTCCATGAACAACTATAGACCGGTGAGCCTGACCAGCATAATATGTAAAGTACTTGAGAGTATTATCAGAGATGCCGCAATGGAACATCTAATACGAAACAACCTTGTAAAAGATTGCCAACACGGTTTTATGCTGGGGCGCTCCTGCTTAACACAATTGCTCAAGGTATTGGATATTTGGACCCATATTCTGGAATGCGGTGGTAATATCGACAATATTTACCTAGATTTTGCCAAGGCTTTCAACAGTGTACCCCATGAAAGGCTGAAAATCAAACTGGAAGGGGAAATGTCCTAGCGTGGATAGAAGACTTTCTACATGACCGCAAGCAGTGTGTGGTGATTCATGGCACGAAATCGTCATTCGTACTTGTCACAAGTGGGGTACCACAGAGCAGTGTATTGGCTCCACTGTTGTTTGTTTCATAAATGACATGCCTGACATTGTACACTCGATACAAATGTTTGCCGATGACGCCAAGTTATTTCGGGAAATTAAGAACCAAGCGGACTGTGAAGAGCTGCAGAAGGACCTCTGTGGGCTCCAGGAATGGTCGAAGAAATGGCTGCTGAGATTCAATGTCACGAAGTGTAAGAAGATGCACCTGGGGTGTACCAACGGTAAGGAGGCGTATCATATGTCCCAACGGGAGGAAGAAAATGCACTACTTGAGACTGAATGTGAGAAGGACCTAGGTGTGTATGTTGGCAATGAGCTGAAGTTCTCGGGCCATTGCGAGAAGAAGGTAAACCAGGCAAATAAATTATTGGGTCTTATAAAAAGGTCATTCAGATATCTAGACAGTCCGCCCCTCGTAACGATCTTCAAGAGTGAAGTGCTTCCCCATCTGGAGTACTGTCACCCCGTCTGGTTCTCAAGATATGCTAGGGACTGTTACTTGGTTGAAAATGTTCAAAGGAGGGCCACCAGACTGGTGCCCGGCCTTCGGCACCTCAGCTACCCTGAGAGATTAGAGCGCCTGAACTTGCCTAGCTTATACTACAGACGGGCAAGGGGTGACCTAATAGAGGTGTATAAGCATCTCAAGGGGCACTACTCGGTCGAGTGTCCTTACTTGCAGCTGGCGGACGCTCGCCCCACAAGGGGGTCACAGCTCAAGATTGAAGGAGCCGCAAGCCAAGAAAACTGTCAGGGCAGACGCCACTGAGTGAGTGTGGGTACTGTGTGACCGTTGCATTTACAATGACCAAACAATAACAAAGGAGTACTTCATCGAAGTTCTTCGCCAGCTGAGGGATACGGTAAGAAGAAAATGACTGCAACTGTAGGCAAGTGGTGACTGGCAGCTTCAGCTTCATCATGACAACACGCCTGCCCATTCTTCACGTCTCGTGCAGGGTTTTTTGGCAAAACATCGCTATCACCCAGGTCTCTCAGCCCCCCTATAGCCCAGATTTGGCTCCCTGCGACTTCTGGCTTTTCTCAAAGCTAAAATCGCCGTTGAAAGGGAGGAGATTTCAGACCGTGGACGAGATTAAGGAGAATGCGATGAGGCAGCTGATGAAGATCCCGAAAGAGGACTTTGCAGACTGTTTTGAAAAGTGGAAGGGACGCTGGGAGAAGTGTGTGAGGTCCCAAGGGGAGTACCTTGAAGGGGACTAAGGTGCCATTGTCCTAGGTCAGCAATATTTTTTTTAATAGTAAATGGCTGCATACTTTCCAGACAGTCCTCGTATATATATATATATATATATATATATATATATATATATATATATATATATATATATATATATATATATATATATATATATATATATATATATATACTGTATATATATATATATATTTTTTTGTCATCAAGCTCAAAGAAGTCACTGAAGCACAGGTGTTTTCTGTTTAAATAAACTCAATATTTATTTTCAATGTGCATTAGGAATGTTGCACAGCTATAAACAAATTGTTCATGCAAGATGTTTTCTGTTCAAATAAATAAAATTTTATTTTTCATGTGCCTTAGGAATATTGCACACCCATAAATATATTGTTTATGGAGGGCGTTTTCTGCCCAAGTACAATCCCTTTAATTGTTCATGTTTAAAAAAAACCCATTGCATAATGGTAAAAAAAAAAAATAAATAAAAAAAATAAAAGAGATTTAAATATAAAAATACTGATTCATTTTTTATTGGGTTTTCCATATATTTTATTGGTCGTAATTACTTGCTTTAAATCAGGTAGGCTGATAGGCGGTAGGGAAATTATAAAGAGATTTAACTGCATTTATCTTTGACGTATTGTAGAATATAATATAATAAGAACAGGGTATTTGCCACCACTGTTCCACGAAAGGGTGGCGCTGAAATGAAACAGGTTGGGAACCACTGTTAAATAACAGTAACTATACACAACTTCTGTTCACTGTCGTCAGCAGGCAATTATCCATTTAGGGGGATTTCCACTCTCATTATCTCATTGTCAGCTAGCCATACAGTCAGTTTGTGAATAGCTTGTGTATTTACTTCATCATTCCAGTGACTCAATGTGTGGGGTCAGCTGTTGGAGCTCCTCAGTACAGTACTCGAACCACTTAACACCCTGAAGCGCTATCTGTAGTCCACATGGCCTAGTCACAGTGGATGTGAGGTGTTTATCTGGATAAGTTGATAATAATAATAATAATAAATATTACTTATGGATATTACTACTATCAGTGTGAAAGGCAGCATTGAAGAATTGCGGTGTGTGGTAGCGTTTGTGTGTGTGTTTTTCATGGTTGTATACGTGGTTGTGTTTGGCAATGAATTTATATTTTTTTCATTCTTTTACTTTTAGAAAGTTTGCTATTCAAGTCAACGTTCATGGTTCAAACACTTACAGTATGTTAAACACACACACACACGCCTTTATCTACAATGTTTCTTTCTCAAACATACCGGTTAATGTGCTGTAGAGACGATGCTTGTCTCGAATCTTTTGAAGAAAAAACTGACATTTAGTTTGGCAGTAACTTTTGTTGTGGTGTGAACCTTGTCCAAATTTGCCTGAAGGAGAGCATCTTTGTTTTCACTACACGTTTATATTTCTTTGAAGAGGAAAATAAGCTAAAGTTATTAAGTTTCAATAATTGTAGCTGTTATTGTCAGAGTTCCTGCTTAATTGTAAGAGTCATTTATATTTAAATAGTTCACTATTCTGATGTTTAAGTTTATATTACTGTACTAATAAGTGAATTTACTCTCAAAGATAAAAATAAAATGAGGAATTGTTAAGACCACATATCAAAGCAGAATCTTAATGTTTAATTTTCAATTGTTGATGAGTATTGTAAGTACTAACCTAGACTACGCGCTTGTAGTTGTTAAAGCGCAATAATACATTATAACATTAGCAACATCAAGTTTTTCAAGTAGGGACTGTTGATATTAGGCAGTTTACTGCTGTAAGAGATGTTTTCCCCTCCACAGACAGGTGGGAGCGCGCGACTGACTCCCTGGCCAGATTTGTCAATTTAGTTTGGCGTTACTTCGAGTGTGATGTGGAAGTGGAGAATGGTGCTATATCTGTTGTGGTGACAGTCCAAGTGTACTCTGTAGTGCTCTGTAGCAGTGCCCCAAGGTGTGACCCCTTCCCAACATACTACAAAAAGTGAGTACGTGTTTTAAATGATAACACAGGTGTGGGGGTTACCATTAGTTGTTTTTTTCCTTTTGAGTTAAGACTGTGAGACTGAGTGTAACAACCTCTGTGGGCGCACATGCTTGGTGCTCATTTGTATCACTCACAGGTGGTTCATTAAACAGTATTCTCCCTCAAAATACTTCAAAATTTGCTTTTATATTTCCGATTTCAGAGTCTCCGTTATACGAGAGTAATTACGGACAAGGTTACCGGTCTATATCGGTATATAAAGGCTCACTGGTTCAGTAAATACATTGCAATGGTAAATAGGAAGTCGATATAACCAAGGATAGCTCAAGAAGATATTTAACCCTTTAATTGGAAGGGGTTTCAGCTGAATAAAATTTACGGTAACGATGTTAATGTGTTCGTCTTACAAAGGCCAGGATAACACAAGGTGCCGCATTGATTGTACCAAGTTGAAGAATTAAGCATTGTTCATTTTCACTCACTAATTTTCTTCACAATGTAAGCATTTGGTGTAAAGGTTATCATAAGGTGACGTCGAATCTTCAGTGTTACGTAAAAAGGTAAACGTAATTGTGTATGTTATAACGAATTATAATCCCATAAATCTCTTAAACCTTGCACAGTGTTATTGTAACCCCTATAACGTACCCTCAATAAACCCCATAATTCAGTATATCTGAAACGTCATCCCTTCACATACCATAATAATCAATCACAGCCTCGTACCTTGATGCAACATAATTCCTCCGTAATTTAACGTACCATGACATTCATAACTTGTGTACCGTAACTTAACATACTGTAACACTGTAACTTGGTGTACCACAATCTCCTGTAACTTGACGTATTGTAACCTCATAACTTTACTTTAACCCCACGGTACAGTTGAGGTCAAAGTTCGCTTCTTCTCAAAATGAAGCCGCATCAAACGAGATATATCAGAGTAAGTCAGTTCGGAAACTTATTCCCGGGACTCCGTTTCACCCTAGGGAGCGAACTTTTTGTCCACGACGGTACGTACTGTACCTTTAAACCCCTTAAGTTGACATACTATATTCACCCACAATTTATTCTATCTTAAGTAAACCTACCAATCCATAACTTCCCGCCATAAGTTTAAACCAAAATCACTACAAGTTTCACTGTCGTACATACAGTCTACATAAGTTCTACAGACTATTTCCAGATAAAACGCTAAAATCATAGACTGTAAGTGGACCGTAATTCATTATTGTAAACTAAATATTTTCCTAACATACCTGTAACTGAATAACGGTCTTAACTGTGATATAAACATGAATTTGAATCAAATGGTTAAAGTATATTATTTTATGATCGCACTACGAATCACGTAAGAAGTGTTTTTTTTACCAAATAAAAAAACGAATGAATTTAAAAGTTACACGAACAGCGTCGCGTCTTTATTAAAATAATTATGCGCATTATTAAAACCCAACTTATCCTAATCAAGCTAGTTTAATCGTTTACGTTATGCGTAGTCTTGTCATATGCGTGATCTTGGCTGTGATTTAAATCACGAACAACCTATCCACCACTTAAAATTATCGTAAATTGCTTTTTAGGGATATTGTAATTCTAGTTTTCTTTCTTTTGTGTGGTTCTGTAATGTATGCAGACCTAATGATTTACATAGCAGACAGGATTCCAAAATTGCGAGTGTCGTGTGTCCAGTATAAGATTGGTTAGGTTCGTTTGTATAAAGTCGGGTTTTGAAGCAAATTGTTTTAGTATTTGTGAATATGTTACGAGGCTGTACAGTACAGCCAGAAACAGTAATTGCTACCCCCCCCCCCCTCTCCAGTAGCCGGAGCCACAGCCAGCGAAGGCCGATTTTGACAAAACGCAACATCGTCAGGAACGATAGTTTCCAAAACTACCCAGCAACTTTTAGACGGAGAAGGATTTGTCCGATCACCAACCGCCAGGCCTTCACTTTTTTTTTGTAGGGAAAGGAGGAATGAAGGAAGATTAGAGGTGGGGGAAGGAAGTTATAGTTCGGAAGTTGAAGAAATTCAGGAGGAGGTAAGAGAGGGCGGGCTGACCGCCTAGCTAAGCTAATACGTGCCGGTACAGGCACGAGACAGCCTACCCTGTCCCATTTATGGGTGTTTTAAGGGCCTTATTTCATATTCCGCCGACCCTACTGGCGGATGCTGGTTAGGGAGGCTGTCTATTGTCTGGCCGTGTAGATCGAGGGTGGTAATGGACCTTTTGAGATTTCGTAGCTTTTTGGGAACCATGTATGGTTGTTGTCGTTATCTGGTGGGAGTCTTTGAAGGAGTTCTTGCTCTGATCGTTCTATCTTTTGCTAGATTCTGCTGGCCAGGGTGTGCAGCTGCTGGTTGATGGGTTTCATTCTCAGGTCTCTATGTATCTCGGCTGTGGTTCTGGTGAAGGGGTATCTTTCACCTGTGACGAGTCTTAGGGCTTCATTTTGGACCACCTGTAATTTTAATATTTGAGTGGTGCTCATAGTATGAAGAGGTATTGCTGGGTGAGTTAATATCGGTGTGATAAATGATGTCACCAGGCGGAGTTTAATTTTCTCAGGAAGCGCTTTAAAGCGGTCTAGTTTTCTCAGCTCTCCTCTTGCTTTTTCATTCCTACTGTGGACATGATGGGAGTAACCTGTCGTTGATATATGTAGGCCCAGGAGGGTGCCTCTGCTTTTGTATTCTATCTGGGCATTATCACTTGCTTGCCATGGCTACGGGGAGGTGGGGGGGGGGTGTAGCAATTGCTGCTTCGGACTGTACCTCAGATAAGATGACTGTTTAATAGTCTGTAGGTCTATCTCTTGTTAATAACTGCTATTGAATACATTAGTATACATTCATATTCTCTCTGACTTACTGGGGGATGTAACAATTATGTGTGTTTAGACAGTTTTCGTGTCTGCCTGCCAACCACTAAATGGTAAATGTTCAGTGTATCGGTGTGTCAGCAAATGCAACTTCGACTGATTGTACCTGTCCGGCTTGTGCTTTCAGATGCTTGAAATAATAACTGATCAGATTTCCCTGTTCGGGGTAACCATGTAATGTCTTGTTCCACCTGTTCTTGTTGTACGTTCTAAGTCGGTTAAGATTATGTACTGAATTAACCACCACGACTCACAGCAACATGCCACAACATACCAAGATGGGATGTTTACCTGAAATATCGATAAAAGTGCAAAATTAGAAATGGAATTTTGGCACAGTTATTCTCATGTGTTTAAGGTACTATCATACAAGTGATGCCATACCAGTACCTCCGATGCAAAAATAAACAAACAAATCCTGAACATAGATTGTAAGTTATCAGTCCTTACCTACTCCTACAATAAGCGTAAAGAATCATAGCCTACCATATCACATTATCCTACCATGGCCGTCTACCATAATTAAACAGGACCACCATCATGGCAGCCAAGAGCATAAATCACTACTTTACACCATTTAGAGTTGAGGTATGGCTGTAAATATACTGGACGATATAAATCTATAAATACAGGAGTGTCTGGTATATGTAAACATGCGACAACATCATCAGATTTTCAAGAATAATTGGCAATAATTAAACATAAGGAACATGTTCATTGTAAATATAAATGGATATTTTAAATAAGCATGATTAACTGTAAACATTTTTAGAACAAAGAATACATGTCTACTCAATATGTCAACACTGACAGTAATGTTTTTTGTATTGATCCCCCCCTAAGAAAAAGCATCCCGGTTCTTGAGATTTTGTTAATAACTGTATTGGGCTATATTGTCATAAGAAATAATAACACGCTAAAAGGCAACACTGTAGTTGTGTCGCTACCTTGATTAAATATTTATGTAAACATCTCGTGCTTCCATATGATAATAACATAGGGGTCGTATGTGACCTAGACGTACATCACACAAGGTCATTAGTATATACTGTAGGTAGACGATATTGTCCTCAGGCGAATTTTTGATAATAGACTCAAATGAGAATAATACGCTGAAATACATTCCTTTAATCAATGAAATCCCCCCCCCCTCCCGAGGTGTAATCCGCTAACACCAGCAGGGAGTAAATCCGCATTCTCCTCCAGGGATTATAGTACAACAGAAGGTCGGGTCCCATTCATTGTCACTGAAGACCTGGCCATGAATCTGTCGTCCACTATTTACAGTCGGATAGCGTCTGTGCGCTGCTGTTTGTCTGTGTCTTGCATTAGCGTATGTGAGGATGAGGTTAGGAGAAGGGGTGAATGTACAGTATAATGCGTTGTGAATATAATTGTTTGTTTGGCTGTCTTATAATATGCAGATGCCCGACGAGACACACACACACACACACACACACACACACACACACACACACACACACACACACACACACACACACACACACACACACACCACACACACACACACACACACACACACACACACACACCACACACACACACACACACACACACACACACACACACACACACACACACACACACACACACACACACACACACACACACACACACACACACACACACACACACACACACACACACACACACACACACACACACACACACAGCTACACAATATATTTAAGGTTAAAAACTTACTAATAATAAACAGACACTCATAGTGAACACCTCATTACAGGGAGGTACCGACTCCTACAGTGTATGTATTCCCTGCTTGTATATGTTGTGTATTTCATGCTAATCTTAAGTGTACGCGTCTTAATGTGTATGTTGTATTTTTTTGTGAGCTTGTGTATTATACGGATAGTGTGTGTGGCTGAAAATATGTGGGGATTAAAATTTCATATAACTTTTCACTATTTATTTTCTAACCCCGCATTCAAGGTGCAGGGAGTTCAGTGGAAAAACGCTTTCACATGAACAATTATGACTACTCACTGCTCATAGTCTAGTTAGTGTGGGTGATGTAATTATATAAACATAATGTACGTAGCTCACATTTATATAAGTATTACTGTCTGTTTGA